TGTTAGTAAAATTAAAAACTTTTATATGTAAGAAAAAATACGTATTTTACTAATTATAATTAGTAAAAAATTTAAGCATTGCATTATTTTTAATTGCCACTGTATTTAAATATATTTATTTTGATAATTAGTTAAAAATTTAATTTTAAAAAATTATAAAAAATAATATTAATATTAATTAATAAAATAACTAAAAATTATTTTTAAAATATATATTTTATTATTTCTGAATATATTATTAAAAAAATATCTTTTTAAAGTAAAATATTAATCTATAATAAATAATTACTTTATTAGATAAAAATATCTTAATTTTTAAAAATTATAAATTTAAATTTATTTTTTTTAATAATAAAAAATAAATATTAATTAATAAATATTTTAATATATAAACTTTTTTTTAATATAAAAATATTAATAAATAAATTATTAGATATATTAAATAGAATTTTTGACTTATAAAAAGTTTTTTAAATAATAATTATAATAAATTATTATGAAAATTTATATTCTTAAATATTCAAATAAAAAATTAAAATAAATTAAAATTTTAATATTAATTATTATTGTTTGTTATTGCTTATTTAAAAGTATTATTAATTTAATAAATTAATATATTTAAGATTAAAAGATATTATAATAAAATAAGTATTGTAATAATATATTAGTAATTTTTTATATTTGTCACAATATCTCTTATTTCATCATAATATTTATAATAAAATAAAAATATGAACAAGATAATAATTATGATATTATATAACAATTCATTATATAATATCATTTTGAGAATTATCTTCTCTATACAAAATATATAATTACAAATTAATTTCTTGTCACAAGCAGAAATCCAAATTCTTCATATAATATTAAGTATTATGTTAAATAAAAATTAAATTATTAATAATACATTAAAGTCATTGTAGTTTTTATTGTTACCTTTTTTTAGCTATTTAGATTGTTGCTGATGATAATAGTGATGATGACATGATATTATGACGATGATGATGATGAAAATCTTTGATCCTAAACTAATTTTTGTTTTTGATTAACTCATCCGCTAACTTATTTCTGTAACTCCTTCAACCAATTCAGTCGAGTTCTGAGCGAGACTATTCGCGAGCTTTCGTTCTTTCGAGAGCAGATATTTCCGCATCAATGATAGTCAAGATGCTGTCCCAGGCGATAAAAATTTCTGAAAGTGTGTTTATCTGGTTGCATCAATTTTTTAGTTATCGAATGGAATCAAGGGATAATAACGTATCATACTGACAAAAAAATAAATCATAAATTATATTTATTACTAAAAGGATACAATTCCATTATATCGGTCCAATAAATGTGTTATTCGTGCAGAAACTTCGTTAGTTCGTGCAGCCTGATTAACGTGGCTTGTTTCAATTGGCGTAAGTAACGGGAAGAATCTATCAAGACCTATAAATTAAAATACACAGAAATTGATATTGTATATAGGTAAAAAAATAAAAGTCAATAACCGTTAATTGGTAACGTCATAAATTTAATCATTATCTACCTTTAAATTCTTCAGAATCAATTATTTTTTGTAGCTCTTCAATCTGTTTATAATTCTCCGCTAATGCAGATAATTCTTCCTCTGATGCTACGATAATCTCAGCTTTTGCCTCGGTTGTTAAAATCGCTCGTTCCATATCTACCGCATCTTTAAATGGTGAAACGAATTCCGATACCTGGTCGTCTGAAAATAATAAATTATTATCATTTTTGAATATTAAAATTTGTGACCGCAACAATAAATATGTTTATCCGAAAGTTTTTTTTTTTCATTATATCCCCTCGCGAAAATTCACACCAACAGCGTTACTAACCGCCACCCTTGAACCCCATAATGCTCACATTGCTCAAGGAACGATTTCAAGCCATCTCTTTCTCGTATAATAGTTTGAAACTGTTTCTTGACTTCGTCAACTCGTCTTAACAACGACAATGTCTCATTTAATTTATCTTGCTGTGTTTTCGTTTCCTTGTTATTTTCCGTGTTATTTTCCTTGTCGACGTTGGTAGTTGTTGGTGGATTATCATTATTAGGAGGTGTAAGAGGTGTAGGAGGTGTGGTTTTTTTTGTCGTCGCCACAGGTGGCACAGCTTTCTTTGTCACAGGATCGAAACCATAGACACTTTTCTCGAGGTGATGTACTCGAAGGTCGAAAACATTCCAAGATATAGTTTCAGAGATTGTACCCTCGGCGTTAACCATACTGAGTGGGGTGAGTTTTTCTGTCTGTATGTCTTCGTGTGTCGTGTATGAGCCTGACTCGGAATGTGCGTATGATTCCGTATCGTCGGTGTTATATGAAGAATTAAAAAAGGTGGATAAAGTGTTTGTGGTGTTATTATTATTATTATTAATGTTATTGTAATTCTTATGTTTGGTGACTGTTTCAGTCCAGGTACCGTCTTGCGAGCCTTTTATTGTCCCGTTTGCAATACCATTCGCGGTGTAAATGCTTCCAAGTATTAGATTTCTTTGGTCTTCTAATAAGGAAAGTCGTTTTACCAGTTCCGAGCTTTCCATGGCATATTAACAAATACAGATATATGGCGTGTGGTAAGTATCTAATTAATTTTTTTTTACAATGATCAGCAGCAGGGCTATATAGTAAATGGATGTTGCTGATGTGTTTGATGGCGATAATGATGATGTTTCGGTAAGCTGGGTTTTTATATATAGGCAGAGTTTTGGTCTGGTGGTGCGACTGAAAATAGGGGACTTGATTATTTGTACTAAATGCTTTGCATTACCGAAACCTATTTGAATCAAGTACCTGAGTATGTACGAGAGCAAACATTGTGTCGTATTGCTATGGTTCTTCGTGTGCGTACAGGCGTTGTACACAATCCAAATATTATACAGTATTTACTAGATTTTATTTGGAATCAAGCATTAATGTCTCTTGTTAGCCTATTTTGACACATATTACCATTTTTTTATTATTTTATGATTGGATAATGGGATTATCTAAAAATTGAAAAGCAAAAAAAAAAAATACTATTTAATATATTACTAATACTTATATACTTAATATTCCTGGATTGATTACTTATTACTATTATTTTTTATTATTACAGGGGTAAAAGATAAGAAAAAAAATATAAATAATCATGATGTCTATTCTGACAAAATTATAGAATAATCCATCTGATTACCGGAACATCGTTACTTATAAAGATAATGACGACTAACGCTAAGTGCCATTACTGTGTATGATTGGATTAAATATCCGTTATTTTTGATTAATAAGGCGCAAATCCGCGTCGTCCTCTGCGAATTCAAAAAGAAATTATTATTATTAACCGGTGAATTTTTAATTACATTATTTATTAAAGGTTACCTTGCGCGTCCTCCTCTAATCGTTGGAGGGTAATGTCCATAAAATTGTGCGCCTGCTCCTCGCCAGTTAGCGCGACCTCGACCTCTACCACCACGATTAAATCCGGGGATATTAGTTCTTTTTGCGGTAACCTTTTTTTTAGAAGAGTTAAATTTGACTTAAAATTTTTACTTTTTTTTTAGTAACTAAGTTATTATTTTATATTAATAATATTTACTTTGATTGGACGTCCATGTAACAATGTTTCATTAAGAGTCATTGCGTTAGCGATTAATGACGGATCGGCGAATTCAACATAGGCATAACTAAAAGGAGATGAGAGATTTATATTAAAATCTATATAAATTATCGATTAAAAGATCGATTAAAAGAATTATTATTCACCCTTTTGGATGTCCTGTCCATTTGTCACAAAGTATGGTCACTCTGTTGATTGTACCACAAGATTGGAAGTGTGCCTGAAGTTCCTCAGGAGTGGCACTATAATCAACCTATACACGTGATCACACAAAACCATTAAATCTCATACGGCATTCAATAATAAAAAAACAAGTACAGAAACCAATAATTACATTGCCAACGTAAATCGATCTAGCATCAATTGCCTCTTTATCTTCTTCCGAACTGCTATTAATCTCTTTTTCGTAGACTGCTTGTAGTTCACGAAGTTTTGCTGCCTCTTCCTCCATTTCTTTTACGCGCTGTTTCATTGCTTCAAGCTTTTATATTGAGGTGAATCATTAATTAATGATCAATTTTTTTGTGGGTATAATATTATATATCTCTATCGTATACACATACTGCTTCAGCGTCCTCAGGATTGGCATCAACTTCTTCGGTGTGTTGCCCTGGAAGGTCTGAATGTTCTTCAGTGTGTTGTTGTCCTGGATAATCTGGATGTTCTTCGGAATCCTGAAGAGCAACGGTGGGTTGTTTTTCCTCAGAAGACATAACTGAATATTTTTACTATTATAAGAGTCGTGTCAATTTGTACCGGCTTTAGGATTTAAAGGTGATAAAGTTTTTTTTTTTTTTTCAATAACAAAAATGTAAATTAGGAAAAATAGCTTCATTTAGTTTATCTAAAGGAAAACAATTAAATAAAAATCCCATGTGGATTGTCGTGATCTTTGTAAGTGAAAAGAAAGGGATGTTTGTCAGGCATCTTGAAATTCTTTTATTAAATAAATTCCGAAAAGAAATGGATTGCAATTTGAAAAACAACAAAATTGACGAATCAATCAACTTTTAAATAAGTGCCAAATTCATCGGATGTGATTAAAGGAATCAACAGTGGTAGCAGAGCAAGCAATCCACAAAGATAGTTGTCCAGACGTAAATTGAAGAATCCGAAAGAAAAACGAGAATGCCAAAGGAAGAGGAGAGGAGAGAAAAAGTAGTGTTAAGGTTGAACTCATTATTACTTTGACATACCAAATATCGATTTTAATAAAACACAGTAGACTTGTCGTATTCTTTTCTCTTTTCTTTCTTTTATTTTTTACTTAAATGTCGTTCGTTGATTTTTTTTATGAATGTTTGTTCCTGTTTTTTTATAATTTTTTACAAGTATTTTTTTATTACGTTATTTTTTGGATTCTTTTTTAAGTGTTCTATATTTTCCTTTACATTTCATGAATATATATATGTGTATATTTTCATTTTGAAAACGACATCAAACTGCGACAAGTTTAATTGAAGGTAATATTTGAAAGCGTACAAACCTTTGGTCGTCCTTTGATCTCTCCTGTGGCTTGGGTTGACGTTTAAATATGTGAAAGAGTCAATGATCGATTTGAGCGTATATATCGTATTGAACAAAAACACAGGCAAAATAAAGTTAAAAGCTGTTTATTGTCATTACAAAAGCTGTTTCGTCACGGTTGATCGGTGTCACGCTATTTCTGCATTAACCATGGCGCAGCTCGACGCGTCTTTATATATTTTTACTTCTTTTCGGCTAATTCTCCAAAGATAGTATATTTTTATATATATATATATATCTCGATAATTATAAAATAATGAAAATACCCCCGCCTGCTCCACCAGCACCATCACAATATCGCCACGCGAAATCACTCGCTTCTTTTCATAGGCAAATACCCACTCATAACAACTATAATGCTCACAATAGTGGTAAATATAACGTAGAGGATTACCTTACCAAAGGGAATACTGTTAATAGTAAATTTGCGAAAATGGAAAAAAGGCAAAGGTTAAAAGGTTCTTGTTGCGTTTTTTTGTGTTTTTATTTCGCGTATTTAGAGTATACTTTCCTGGGATCTGATAAATTTTTCAATCATTGTCTCAGCGTCTAGTTTGCCGTTGGCGGCAACTCCTCCGCGTCAAGTTCAACGAAATTCTTCTAAATATGATTTTAACTATGATCCTCAACAACAGCAACATCAGCAACAATATCTGAGAGGACATGTGCAGCAGTTGCCGAATTCGCCTCAAGATTTTTATTTGAGTGATAATGGTGACGGTGAAGAGATTGATGATGTGGATGCGTTGACGGAAAGTTTATGTGAAGAAGAAATTGAATGGTACTGCACATCTATAAAATCTGAACATTTAACTAATGTAGATTTGAGTAATCTGAATTTATTAATTCGTCATTTTGTGAATCAGCGGGATGGAAATAAATGAACTTATGGTCTCTCTTGCTGGTAATTTTTAAAGTTTTTATTAATAAACTAATAAATAACTTGGCTTTTATTTCTTAGCGCTCTTAAAAAAACGAGAGTCCAAAATATCAAAATCAATGGACACTCAATTCGAAATAAGCAAGTCTACTATAATTGAAATGATGAAACGGTACCTCGAAAAAGAAGAAAAAACGACGTGAGTGAATAAGTCACAACTATATTGAAAGTTCTTATGAGTCCGGAAGTTTTGATTTTCAATTTAGCTAAAATAGGCAACTTTCATGTAAAAGGGTGGATTAATGTGATATTTAATATTCAAATTGATATTTATAGGAATAAAGTTGCCAACGAGTATAAGTCTCGTATGAATGAACATGACGAACAAAAGATTGGCTGGTTAAAGAAATTACAATTGGAATTTGAAGAATATCAGGTTTTTCCGCATTTTCAATTTCTTTAAGTGATCTAATTACGAGCGCATCTTAGAAAATTTTTTTTTTACCGGTGATAAATAATAGAAGGAAACCGAAAATCTTCTCGAAGCCCTCGAAAAAAATTATACAGAGAGCTTACGACATCGACGCGAATTCGATAAAGAGATTGAACAAATTCGTAAGATGATATTTCTTTATTATTGCAAGCTAGATATTTTGAAGACGTTTTTAGTTTCGAGAAATAAAAGGGTTACCTTGAATTGATTTTTTTTCAAGTTCATGATCAAGAACAAGAAGTTGCCCAGATCCAAGAGAAAATACTCGATTCCAGTCAACATATTCGTCATGCATTGGCTGCTGCTGCAAAGGCAATTTTTTCTTACTATTCCGTTCTTTTTATTCTTTTCGTTGTTATTTTTTATTCACGGAATTTAATTTTTTTAGGAAGTCTCACAGAGACCCAATCTCAATAAACAATTACACTCTTTATTCAAATAAAAGTATCACTTATGTATTATTATGTAAGATATGTATTTTTAAATTAACATAATTGATTAGTTAGGAAACCACGCGACACGTCATTTAAATTAAGTTAAAACCTTTGATAATCTATGCTTACTAAATCCGGGCATCTATTGACGTACATGTAACTGGTTTTGCTAGTTTAGAAAGGGTTTGATGCCAAAGGGCTGAATTACATGGAAAAAAAGTGATGATGTTGATTATCATTCATAAATTTGACGTCGAACAACAAGCGTGTACATGAATTATTCCTAATCAATATTTAATAGTAATTTCATACGATAATACACAGTAAACGAGACAGCCATCATCGGGGTAACTTTCAAATAACCAATACTCAATCCGATATAGAACCCGGGTAACCCTCTAGTTCGCCAGATATTGCGAGTAGTCTCCAACATACTTGCAAACTTTGTCGGATCCAACGTGCCATAAACTTGCATCCGCCGTCTTATAATCTCGAAAGGATAGGAGGCAGTCTGCGCAATAGCACCCGACAGTCCACCAACCACAAGTTCTGCCCATGTTTTAAGCGGAGCTCGTCTTTCTTGTCCCCGACTATCTAGTTTTCCAGCTGCTAGAGAAGGCGACGTGGTAAAATCTGCAAATGTTGTCCGACACAAGTTTGATAGCCAGTGATGCATTAGAAATGATACTCCCGCGTAGGGAACCATTCCAAGGATTGTTGGTATTAAGCCTCGATAAAAGTTCATTATCGGCAGGTGGATTATTGTGTTTCGTGATCCAGCTGGCTCGTGGTATATCTGTTGACATATTGATCGGATTCCTACGGGAATATCTTTTCGATCTTCGTATGCTAGTCTAACACGTATTAATTCTAACGGATATGTAAATAAGACTGATGTAATTCCTAAAGAATATTGAAATTTCAACTAGTAAGGTCAATAGTGCGAAAAAAATTTAGCACATCGAAAATTGAGAATCATTCGTCTTTCCCTTTACTATTATTTCATTTACCAGCTAGTGATCCTGCCAGAAATTGCCTTGCTGACGTTTCATCTTGTCTTGTTTTCATTATTAACTACAATAGAGTTTCATCACGCAAAGAGAAGGTTTTATTTTATTCTCTAATTCATTCTTAAAAAGATCTTGAAATCAAAGGAGGAAAAGTTTGAACTGAACTCTTACATGACGAAATTGTTCATATGCGACAAATTTTATTGCAGCGTATGGAAAAATCCTAATTAATGTAGCAGAGTGTCCTTGAAATAAACCTCTAGGACCTGAAGCATGATAAATCCTTTTACCAGCTACAAATACACCCGTCCATGTACCTAATTATTGAGGTATAAGTTTATATTGGAGCGTTTTGCCTTTTTTAAATATCCATTCAAATTGATTAATGATATCTTAAAAATACCTGCGTATGCTTGATAATGTGGATTATTAGTCTGAAATAATATCTTTACCCTATCAAACGGCGCGACTGCAGACTTTGCCTGAGGACAAAAAAGAATTTTTGTATACAAAAGTTCGTTAATTTAGGGACGCTATAAAGTAAAATCTTTATTAATTAAATAGATAAGACATTAACAAGAGATATTAAGGGACGCGAACGCGACACCTACCATGCAACCGGCTATCCCTCCTGCAAGACCGGACCGTATTATATAATTCACGCTATGTTTGTCGTGAAATTTTGCAACTTGTGGTTCTAACTCGATTGTAACGTCACGTTCATTTGGTTGTGGCATGACAGCAAAGGTTGAAGTGGTAGTCGCCGTAGCTGTTGTTGAAGACATTTTAGTAGATATTGGATTACAGGCAAAATAGTAGATATTTGAAATTGACACCGGAATATTATAATTCCCTGATTTTGATTCGTGCTAATTTTACCTGCTGACATCGCTGACATCTGACATGACCTCATTCGAAGACATCATTTTGATGTTCATAGATGGGCATTTTACAATAGGGACTTCGAAAGTCATTGATAATCAATTAACCGTCACAATGCTTTTTATCATGTTTACTGAAAAGGAAATTAGACTAACCACATACATATATTAAATCACATGGTCAACTTTTTTAATATATAAATTCAGCGCAATTATTATCTCGTCCAAGAAAAAAATGAATGATAATCATTACAATCACAAGGGTAGCAGAAATGGTAATGGTATTAATAACCAACTTCACGTCTCCAATAATAACACTTCGCCTTCCGCCACCGAATTAGAGGAAGACCCGCCACTTGTAAAGAATCAACCTCGTAATTTAGAGGACTATTTCTTCCCTACGCATAGATTTCAGAAAACGCTGCAAGGTATGCGTGCGTGAAACTTTTTAAGAGTATAGAGTTGAGGTTAGTCTAATAAGCTTTCGGCGGGCAAGGTGCTGAGTCAGTCAATGTTAATATAGTATGACTCTTTTTTCCCCTTGACCATTGACTTAAAATGACACAAAATTGTCGAATGAAACAATGAATCAGAATCTCATGACTGGATTCCTGATAAAAAAGAGTCAGTCTCGCTTTTTTATATAATGTTTAATTTGATTTGTAGATCCCAAAAAAGAACCCCTTGTGATTGTGGCGTGTGGCTCTTTTTCCCCAATAACATACCTTCATCTTCGAATTTTTGGTAGGCTGTCATTTATTTTCTATCTTCATCGATGTAAATCAGAAAAAGTCACGTGATTAAATGCTTTCCATTTATTTTAGAAATGGCTAAAGATTATATAATTGAAGATAGCAAATTCGAGATTATGGGCGGTTACTTCTCCCCCGTATCAGATCATTATAAGAAAGAAGGTCTCGCACCAGCTTATCATCGCGTACGGATGTGTGAGATGGCTGTTGAAAGAACGTCCACCTGGTTGATGATTGATGCGTGGGAGAGTCTACAGAAAGAGTACACCCCTACCGCCGTAGTGTTGGATCATTTTCACGAGATGATCAATATTCAAGGTGGTGGCGTAAAGACGTCTGATGGTAATTTTTGTCTGTTATTAGATATTTCTCCATTCATTCTTGTAATTATTTGTGAAGATACTAATGATGATGATGATGATGATGATGACGATGATACTATTGTTCATTGATTATACTTAGGGAAAACAAGAAATGTCAAGATTATGTTACTCGCTGGTGGTGATTTAATTGAATCATTCAGAATTCCTAATCTCTGGTCGAATGAAGATGTAGGCAGTAATTTTACTGATTATTCCTCAACTTGCGCTTTTATCACACACCCTTACCTGTGTATGTGTTTTCTTCATATAGCTTCATCACATATTAGGTGATTTTGGATGCTTGATCGTGGAAAGAACAGGCGCGGATGTATGGGGATTTTTATTGTCACATGATATATTGTATGAACATAGGGTAGGTCTTGCTTCGTGTTTCATTTGCATTTCATTCTCATATTAATATTATTGATATATACGCTCGGAAAATAGAAAAATGTATACGTGATTAAGCAGTTAATTTATAATGATATCAGCTCGACTAAAGTGCGGTAAGCTTTCTTTTATATTTTCTTTGTCCATCACCCACAATAATTCTAAAACTCATTATATGCACGTCTTTAATTTGTGTTCGCACACGCAAACACAGTCTTTTTGTGAAAAGAGGCATGTCGATAAAATATCTCTTACCCAATTCCGTGATAAAATACATACAGCAACATCAACTTTATCTGGGGAATACAGAAACAATAGAGTCAGTAATTGACTCAGATAATGAAGTAGTAGCGCAAATATCAAAGAAGATCGAGGTTCTCAACTTATAAAAAGACAAGTGGATGAGTGACAATCTCTTTCATCACTCTATATATAATTCTTTATCTAGACCAGCCCATATTATTTAATCACCAACTATAATTTAGCATCTCTATAAATAAACAATCATTTTTCTTAAATTAGAAAACATACAATGAGCATGTCCAGCAGTTTTGTTCCGTACAAGCAACCAATAAATTTGAATTTCGGTAGACAAACAAGAGCATTTATATCCATTTTGCTACACCTACCCTTCACGTGATGTTACTGATATAACGTGGAATGATTCAAGTGACAAATCACCTGATTACAAAGGAATACTACACTACACGTGAAAACGATCCGATCAATGGGAATGCGTAAAATTCTGCGCAATCGTGTAGGATTATTTATTCACGTGATAATCCAAATTGCGAAAAAATACCTTAGAACATTATCAAAAAAATGTCAGAAGACGATTTTATATATGATCTTTACTCGAACCCGAACTCTAACCCTGAAACTTGACCTTGAATATGAATCGGATACTTCAATGCAGGGATGATGATATATGGCATTCACATAATTCACAAAATTTTGTGCACATAGCTTTATAAATCTGTCATTTTTAGTAAAAAAAAAGGAGCGAGAAGTTAATATAATTTATAAATTAGTTTTCATATTAAATCCAATATTCAGAAATGAAACAACTAGTTCAATAACAGCTTATACGCGACTCAAAGATTATCCTGAAGTATTTCGTGTTGATAATGGTTTGCTATTGCAATCTTTCGGTAGAATGGAAACATAAGTCACAATAGACGCATATTGCCCAAGTAAAAAACATAGATCACAAACTACTTTACATACAAATATCAAAAAAAGAAACCCTTAGCATAGGGTATCTCTTTATATAATTCACTTTTAGATAGTGACCGTCAAAACTTTATCGAAGAATCGCTTAAGCAAATGTATTTTCAATCGAGAGTTGACGAAACTGAGACGATTTTACCATAACAGGAAACTAATTATTAAAAGAATAATATCATAAAGGACCTTACAGTGGCGACCAATTAATAAAATATAGTGAAAATTGAAATTTTCTCGCCATATTAAAATTTATAATTTTATTAAGAAATAATTTTTATTTTTATATCAAAATAAAGTTTATTAGTTGTAGTTTAACATATATTTTTTCTGAACGAGTTATTCTAATTGTAAAGTTAGTGCAAAAATTTCTATTAGTTAAATTTCATTTTTAGTAAAATTTTTGCAATTAGAATAACTCGTTCAGAAAAATATATGTTAAACTACAACTAATAAACTTTATTTTGATATAAAAATAAAAATTATTTCTTAATAAAATTATAAATTTTAATATGGAGAGAAAATTTCAATTTTCACTATATTTTATTAATAAATTTAGCTCCTGATGCATTTCTTTTGGTCGCCACTGTATATCGCCACAAAAACATCGTCCCTGCTTCAATGGTCCTGGGTTGCATCACGTGTCAGTCACTTTTCTTTTTGCGTGACTTGGTTACTAAATTTTTTATATTGCGAAATGAACATTTTTGTTTTGACAGTGAAGATTTAGTGATAGTTTCATAAACTCATTGTCAAATAAGTTGCAATGAATTTTGGATAATTTTATCTACTGATAAAACTCAATAAGTATAATGAATTTTAAGTTAAATAAAAAACACAAAATTCGATATTAACTGAAATAGATTGCTATTGTTCACTTTGATATTTAGGATATACTTTCTTTCATAACGATAATTAAAGAAAATAAATATTTCTACTTACATTTTCGCGGGATTCTTATAGTGTGAAATCGACAAAATAATTATCAAGAGAGAAAATAAAGGAGAATTTGTGCAAATGCTTGCGTTTGAAAAAGTTCGACCATGAATGGATGATGGATGAATGATACTCGAACTCTATCAACTAAAAATTAGAAAAAAAAGACAAAAACGATCTTAACTATCTAATTTTGAAACTAGAAAATGAAGAGACTATTTTTTGTTTTCGCTAGTAACGTTAAAGAAAGATGAATTAATTATATCGAAATTATTACAGCGTTAAAATTTACAAACTATACATAATTCAAATTTATAATATCATACATACTTTATTTAATATCACTTTATCATTATTTCCAGCAACCAGTGATTTTTTTTATTTTTTTATTTACTGAAGTGTAATCTTGTTAAACGAATAACACCATCTACATGTATAATACAGAATGATAATTTATATATACATATAAATTTTTACGTATGTTAGAGATTCTATTATATATTATGTCTTGGTTGCTTCAAACTCTCTTGATGAGAATTTTAGGCTGTTGCATCCTCAAATGCAAGGATTTGCCTTGCTTATCATACAACGCCGTTCAAAACTCAAGGACAACTCACTTTTTTTAATACATTAATTGAACAATCATAAGACCTCGCATCTTCGATGTGAAAAAAAAACGCAAAGAATGCATGCATGCAAACTTAATTTATTATAATTGGGAAAAAAATAAAAAACTTTTTACTTATTTTTTTTTTTACTGAAGGAGCGAAAGTAGCAATAAATTTCTCAGAATTAAAAAATTCATTCACCTATTTAACGAAAACTGATACGATTAATGACGTCTAGATTTGGCATATCCATGTAACTTGAAAATTAATAGACACTTCTTTGTTTATTTTTTCCTTCAAAACAATCAAAGACATCATTTAGCACCTACATCACTATGCATATAAGTACTACATATTACGTGTGTATATATATATAGATCTATATTTAAAAAAATAATACGTAATACACGCGGTGCGTAAAAACGATCAACCGAAAAAAAAAAATTATGAACAATTGACCAAATTGTAATTTTTTTTGTGTTTGATCGAGGCAGAATAAATGACAGAAAAAAAAATAGATAATGAAAAAAAAAATGAATGAATTACTTAAGAATCTAGTTGAAACACGCATTGTCTAACCTTTTCTTTATTTTAGTTTAACACTAAAAAAAATATCGGCTACTAAGGATTTTCTCATTGTTTTTAAAAAGAGCGCCTGTACACAGATGCATGCACATGCATTTTTTCAACGGTAAATCCTAATTGTAGTAATAAAAATTTCCTATTGATTTTTGAGTTTTTGTGTTTTTATGGAGGAGAAAGAGAATAGTGTGATTATAACAATGTGGTATTTGTACGTGTCATGAAGATCTAACAATACTTCGAATTCTTCTTATTATATCATCGGTTATTATCAATAACATAATTAATAACGACAATAAATATAAAT